AGAAGCACTAAATTACCGGTTTCTTTTTTCCCTTTAGCTCTCCTTTTGTCTTTGCTCTCAGTGTAATATCCTTTTGAATTTTCATTGGCTTCTACCTCATTGCATTCTAATTGAAATGCTTCTGGATTTCTTTCTGGATCCTTGTGCCTAGACTATTGATGCCGTCTGATTTAGATGTAATCCATCACATCTATACAGATGTGCTATGCCGTTGAAAGGTTTCCAGTGGCAAAGAAAGCTGAAATCGTCTTCTGCATACCACATCCTTATCTGTGTATTATGTTAACAGATTAACATATGTAATTGCTCTCCCTTGTTCGCTGCTGGTAGAATTATTGTTCTTCAGTTTGTTACTAAATTGTTTGAATTTGTTTTTGATGGCCAGTGTACCCTTATACTGTACCAAATGAAATTGGTATATTATAGCAATTTAAGTTGTGCCCACATGGACAACAGCTGGGTCATCTTGTGTCCTATGTGGGAGCCTGTCAACACTGTGTATCCACCTTACCTCCAGGGAGACAGCAAACTGTCATCTCATGGTCCCTGGTGCAAATCCCCGTTGCAGTGTTTTAGAGAATGGAATCTCCCACAACGATCACTTCTCATTTTGCTTTTTTGACGGGACTGGCAGTAATCATAGTTGAGAGGATATATGTTAACTTGTGCCTTTTTTATGTATAGTGCTACACCCCCATCTCTTCCTTTTTTCCTGCCTTTACTGAATGCTGCATTTGTGCTTGTGTTGTACTCGCCACTCTTTGTTAGCCATGTTTCAGTGACTCCAATTACATCGTAATTGAACGCTAATGCAGTAGCTTTTATTTTTTTGTATTCTGCTCATAATACTCCTGGCATTTAGATATAAGAATTTAATTACCCGATAATGTTTTGTTTTTGACTAGAGTATTTTTGGGGTTTACTCCCCTTGTTTGTATATCCAGATTTTGTCATTTTTCCATAGTTGCTTGCCCCGTGCCGGCTGATACCCATCTCATTTTGATGTGATCCATCGTGTCTGTATCAATAACCTTTGCCCTTGAGAAGGATTCCAGTGACCAAAAACATTTACTTGTTCTTCACCACATCTCATTATCAGCCCTCTTGTGTTTCCAGGTTAACATTTTCAGTTGACATTTATATGGTAACTGAGAGAACCACTCATTTTGTTTTACTCGTTGTATTTATTTCAAGGTTTTGAATTTAATAACGCCTAGAAAATGTGTGTTTTGTTTTCATTGGTGTTTGCTAGGAGCCCAGCCGTTTAATTATGTCTATTAGTGCGTGTATACTAGGTTTTGCATTTTTATGGCCTTTCCATTGTCTGAATTCTACACTTACATTTTGATGGCAAAGCCAGAATTGGAGAGGACTTGCTTTGCACAAAACTATATCTACTATGTACCTTGTCTTTGGCCTACACATACAGAAATAGTTTTAATACAGTACAATACTTTTGTTGCATGTTTTTGAATTATTTTTCATGTCTTTTCAACCTGTTTGTGTTTGATAATCCCAGGATGCCTTTAACATGCTGAGCACATGATTTAGGCGTCCAGCTGAAGTAGATTTCTCTTCTGCAGCTGTGACCAACAAATAAGGACAATGTCATACTTCAGTGACTCCCAGGCTCATATATTAATTGTTCACATTCACTGTTTCATATCTTTTTAATAGAGATTCTCAACAGTCTCCACTTGGGGGCAATGTTGATTGCACCTCGAATAAAATCCTGTTAAAATCACGCATAAAGATAATGGTTTTGAATACTGAATTTTTCTTTCTTGGGAGGAAGACAGCACAAACTACTGACATGTAAAGTATGCATTGCCATTAAAAAGAGATTCTGAATGTTTTGCCTGTTTTTGTACATTTTTCAAAAATACATCGTAGCTTAGCTGTAGGAATTTTTTTTTTTTAGAAAATGAAAGTGGTGCCTGAAATCTCACAACTTTAATGTTTTGCATTTGCAATTCAAGCACAGGGCATCAAAATCAATTTGAAGTGATAAGGTACTTAATTTGCTAAATAGGCTTAATTATACTATTTTCACTCCCCAACACAATTGGCTCTGTAACATGTAATCATATTAAAGTATTTTATTGTAGAATATTTTACAAGAATCTGTTCATTTTCAGTTATCCCGCTGTTCTCCTGAAATACAGTTTAATTAAATACTTAGACAGCTCTGAGATGTTAACTGATTGCAGGTTTCTCTGTGTATACAAGCCCCTGTTAAATTCATGCTAGAAAAAACAATATTCTGCATTCACAACAGGAAACTAAAAATTGAAAGCAATCAACCAAAAGGAAGAAATGGGTTGAAATCTATGATTACAAAAAGCTTACACAAAGCATTTATTTTCAATAAGATTTTTCCTTTATAGAAAAATCTGTTTAACTGTTAAAACATTCATTTGAAACAAAAACATGGATTTATATTTCAGTAGTTTAAATCATTTGTTCTGTATCTGAATTTTTGATATGCTGTTATTCCAGCACCTTCTAGAGGGCAGTCAGACTTAATCGAATGTGTAAAATAAGCTATTAACACTACCTTTTTAAGGCAGTAAATATTATACTACATTATACTACAAGTTAATTATATTACCTTGCTATTTTAATGTTGTTTTCACTGTAACAGTGTAAAAATCACTTCCTTAGCTTTTGGATTCCTAATTGAATCATCTAAACCCGACATGTCTGTGAGGCGAGTGACATTGATTAGATGATTGCTGAGAAAATCAGCAACCTGATTTCAGAAATAGCTTCATATTTGAATCTCAAATGTAGTGAGACCACAGAATCACCTGTATATTCATGCCAAATACGATAATGGCTACACCAAAAGACTGGGTTCTTGCTGTATGAGAGTTTAAGCATGGGGGGGGGGTTGAATAGCTAACATTAACAGTAGACATTGTTACTTTTTTTCTTTTTGATATTAGGTAGCTGGATTACACTAATAGCTGACAAATGTTTAGAAGAGCACAAACACATTATTGAAAAAATATTTAGAAGGATACAAGTAACCATAATATCCGTTGTATCACCTGTGACTTAATGATAGAAGGAGACCTCCATCTCTGTCTTGCCCCCTCCTGTGATTCTGCCCTGCACCTTTTCTGTCTTTTTTGTCACATATGTAACTTTAGGTTTTAAAGTTAAAGACCATCCTTCCTTTATCAGAAGGTCTCTTATACCTGTTAAGAGTGAAGCTGGAGCCTATCCTGGAAGCATAGGGGGCTTGGTAGGACTGAACCCTAGAAGGATCTGTTCAAGCACACGGGCAGTTTAGAGGCACCCTCTAACCTACAGAGCATGGCTTTGGAATGTGGGAACATACTAAATCACCAGTAGAAATCTTCCACAGATACAGCGGGCGAAACATGCAAACTCATTTTTGCATGGGGAAAGAGCAAATGTCGGGCAGCGCGGACTTTAAAGTAGCAGTGTTTGTGGCTAAGAATGTAAATGTAGTTCACACAAAAAAACATGTAAATGCACATTAACATTTCAATAACATTGATGCCAGAAGGAATTTGTTTAAAGGTAGAAGCCTTCATAAGAGCACACCACACAAATGCTTCGATACTGTACTTTGGGCCTCTGTATGGTAATTTTCCTTCAAGCACCCCGTCTGTTTTTTTTTCCACTGAAATCGGGCATACTCCTTAATAGATGGTTGTATAGATTAGTGATTAGGACTTGATCAAGTTCCTGTTGTGGACACAGCTGTTGTACTGTGAAGTAAAGTACTGTACTTTATTTCAGTTGCTTCAATCCACCTACATTATTTAAATGAGTTCCAGCATTGCTGGGGTTAGACCTGCTAATGGACTAGTATCACATCCAGAGGAGTATTGAGTATTCTCACACCTTGTAATGCTGTGGAAACAAGGATAAGCTCTGGACTGATGGCTTCTAGACTGAAAAAAAAAACACAACAGCCTGTGTGCTTAAGTCCTTTATATGACGTGTAAGTAGGTCTGCTGGTAAAGCAGGTTGTTTTAAAAAAAAAACATGTAAGGCAACTGGCTTCATAACTTAATTTTAAAGTAACCATAACACTAATCATTCCAGGAATGGAGGAAGTTGAAAAATGTTCATTTGCAGACTTACAGTGAAATGGATTGACAGTAGTACAGCACTATTATACAAGTCGCGATGACTGTCTCTTAAAATGGGAAGAGCTGAAGATGCTTATACCGAAGTGACTTAAGATTTAACTGAGGAGTTACTGTATGTTACCCCCAGAATTTTAAGTTAAATTCTAAGAACCTGAAGGTAATTTGAAACTTTGTCAAGTGAAAAGTATTTTAATACCTGTGGTTCAGTCTTTGGAAACATGAATGCATCCATCATTGCTTAATTCAATAGAGGGTCGCATTGAGTCAGAGCCTAACCTGGCTGATATTAAGCACAAGGTAGAATACTCCATAGAGAGGATGCCAGTACTTTTCAGTGCTCACACATAGGAAAGTGGAGGCTCCATTTAACCTAGACTTCATGTTTTTTGGACTGTGAAAGGAAACTGGAACACCCAGCAAAAACCCATTAATCTTTGTGGAGAATGTGTACAACTCCTCATAGCGGGTGCTAATGACTGGCATAAAAGACAAAATGTGGAAAACTGCATCCCGAGACCAAAACCTAGGCTCACTGTGTTGTTATAAGGGTCATTATAATGTTCACCTAGCATGTTCCGATATGGATATTTGTCGAACCACTTCAAAGTATTCTGCCCCACTAAAATTTGGAGACCATTTTTTTTTCAGAACAGAACCCATTTTACAGTACTTCACAAACCTATGTTTAAGTGAAAGCAAGCTTTCCCCCATCTATTCTATCTTTTGCTTTCACACTTATGTTATTTTTTTAAAGTAAGAATAAAATGAGCAAATTCTATTTTGGAATAAAAAGTTTAAAAAACGCTCACCTCTCTGTTAAGTTTTGTTTGTATATGTGTCACTGAATTTTACTTATTTTCACATTTTCAGTTCAGAAAGACCTAATTGGCATTGATGATTTGACATTCACTAGCCAATCTGAATATGGAGGTAAGTTCTTTCATTTGTTATTCTGTTTTTTTCTCCTGTCCTGTGTGTAATTTTTTTTTTCAGAACAGAACCCATTTTACAGTACATCACAAACCTATGTTTAAGTGAAAGCAAGCTTTCCCCCACCTATTCTAGGGAAATTGATGTGTTACAACAGTCTTGGGCTGGACTGCTGTAACACATCAATTTCCCTACGGGATTAATAAAGTATTATCTATCTATCTAAATATGTAAAGTGTTTTTGGTTTCTCATCATCCGAGATTTGCATTTAAACAACCTTATCCACTATTGTAGGCAAGGTATCATGTGATGTGTTTTCTATCTCTTTATATTAACTAAAGAGAATCTCCTATGTGCATGATGCTATCTGGTACATTATAACTTTGAATATTGCAACTCATACTGTACATTAGAGCATTGTTTGTGATCAGTGTATAGTATGTAAGAACCAAAGTCAATGGTATTTTTTAAACAGCCATCTCATTGTAAGGGTTAATTTAAAAAATACGTAAAGTACTTCACACCTCTTTATTTCAACATAGGCTTTTCAGCTTCCTTAAATATTATGTTTCTCCCAAAATGTTGTTATTGTTGTACTGCTCCTTCTACTTCATTGTATCATCAGAGCACGTTTTGTGTACCTGCTTAATATATTAAGCCCTGTTCATTGCTGTTGACCTCCACTTGAATGTTAAAACATAAATAATTGTGTTTGGCATGAGCCTGCATTAAATGGGCCTCGCCCTGAATCCTTGTGCTTTTAATGGATTGTGAAATTTACAAGTGCACACTGGCTTAACGGATATAACATCGTTACGTCGGTAATGTCATGCAGTGTAATCTTCAAGGAAAAAAAAAAATCTTGTAGTTATTTGGATTTTCTTGCAGAATTGTTTCTTAAAAATACTGTATATTTGCAGCAAGATAAGCACCACCTGGTTCCAAAAGCCTTTGTCTGTCTCTTTTGCTTTGTAATATTTAAGTCATTGAAACTATTTATCAGAAACCTGTTTGTATATAATGGTCTCTTTGTAAACTGCTTCAACAAGGACATGAAATGTGGGTGAGGGGGTTGGGGCAATCCTATCCATGAGCAGGCTAGAAGAAAATGGTTTGGCAGCAAGTTCGGGATTATAACAAATTATGGACAGAATGAGGTTTATCGTGGTGTTATTTGTAAAGGTTAGGTTAATTCCTAATAGACCTGTCCTAGAGGTCTTGTGAACCCTTTCTGTAATCTGTTAATTTCTTCTTCAGAATAAGGATGCACTGGTAGTAAAAGAAAGCTAAGAATCGGATCAATTAGATTATTTTCTTTTCTCTTAAAATTGTATGATAAAAAAAGATTGCATAGAACCATCCAGATTAGTTTATGATCTTTCAGTTTTACTCTGCTGTTTCTCAGCAACTGTATCAAGGTCTGCACTTTTGAATTACCAATATACTGTACATCTCCATTAACTGATTAACCCTGTTTGAAAATTATATTTTTAGATGAGTAATAAAAAGGAGTCACGTGATTGTTTTCCATTTATTTGTGTTAATTTAACGTTTCAGTAGAAACCTTATTGTATCTAGGAATCTGAAACATGATGAAAAAAAAGTTTTTAAACTTTAAGGAAACTTGAAAATTTCAGACTGCATCTTATGATGTATAATATATTTTTAAAATTGGTTCCATGTTTTCTAATCTTAAAGATCAGCAATTCATATATTACAGCTAATGTTAGTGATTTTAAATGTTCTGCAGTTAATCACAGTGGAACCAGTTTCAAGATAAATGCTGTCCATTTCAAGAAAGAAAATAGGTTAGAGGAGATGTGACAACAAAGTGTTAACCAGTTGATCCCAGTCGAACAAGCAAAGTTAGCACTCCTGCCCCAGTAGCATTCAATTTGTCCTTTTTATTGATATTTACAAGACTTTACCTTTTACCCTCAACACTGACAAGACTTTGCTGTCTACTTCAAAACCAGAATTGCCATTCCATACTGCATGCTGAATATTTTTATGGAAGAGTCGGATTGCCCTCAACTGGAGACAAGTCCTTGTGCAAAAATGCAGAACCTTAGTTTGCTCCTCTCCTATCTGTGGAGTGTTCAGTGCCCTTACACTGGCCTCTAGTGGCACAAACTATATCTGACAGGTCAGTTCCAGCTGCTCAGTTACATGTACAGTATAAATATGATGGAACAAGTAAAGGTTTATTCCATGCTGGAAAGAGAAGAAAAGAAACACAACTTCAGGTCCCGAAGAAGGCTCCACAGCTGAAACGTTGTTTCTTTTTTTCTCTTTCCAGCATGGAATAAACCTTTACTTGTTCCTTTACAGCCTACACATGCTGATGCAGCTACCTACTTGAACTACTGTAGTATAAATAGAATGTTACTTTATCCTATTTGATTTGTTAATGGTTAATTATTGAGAAAGCTGTTAAAAATGGTTACAAATATCACTATGCAATATTGAAGCCTGTAAGTTCTTAGCTGCTTTAAGGTTTGGAGCGTACTAACAAAAGGGGGATGTGACTGCAGAACTACAGAGTGAAAACTGATGATATTGTTCTGTGACAGTGTGACAGCACTGGACATAGGAACCACAACTGGGTAAAGGCAGAGAACCAAAGATCAGCACTGTGTATGTATGATATGACTGCACTAACATCAAAGCGTCATAAGTGCACTTGATTTTTGTGTGAGTTATACATGTTCTGACAAGATACCAATAGAACCAAGGCCAGTGGCTCTGACCACAGTTGCCATCCTGATCAAACAAATGGACTTGGAGGGCTGGACTTTGCCCACAGGCCATGCGTTTATCATGCTTGGTGTAGGACATTCCTTTAAGCCCAGGAACATATCTAGTTGCTCGTCTATGGACAGGTTTCAGAGTAATTTCATTTATAAATCATATAAAAATGAATATTAAAAAAATCAATCATACAGGTATTTGATGTATTGATAAAGTACATTGAACTCTTTCTGTATGATGGTCTGGTATTTGCAAACAAACAGACTATAAAAAAAATCAAGGTGGTGCTCTATTGGCCGTCTTAAAAAAAAAACACACAGAGCGTTGCAAGTTTGTGGCTTGCGTTTTGTCCCTCAGGGCTCTCAAGTGAAAGTGATCTGATATCGTTGGTGGTGGACGAAGACTCCCTCACTGAACTCGACGATGGAATGGCTTCAGCCGGGAACTCGCCGAACAAGCTGCTGGGAGGTCTCGGCCCGTCCCCGGAGCCCACGTGGAGGAAGGACTCTGCTGGCCAGGATCCCGAGGCAGCCAGGAACGGTGGTGCGGAGGGGGGAAGCCGAGGAACATTTTTCCCCAGCCCCAGGGACCTAAGACCCAAACAGGGAAAGAAGGACTACCTGGAGAGGGCAGGAGAACAGATCAAGATGGCTGTGCAGAAGGAAACGGAACTGGATTATGAGGCCGCCTTCTCTTTCTACAGAACTGGTGTCGACCTGCTTCTCCAAGGAGTGCAAGGTACTATATTTCTTCAGGCTTTTTCTGTGTAAAGTATAGCCGGATCAAGCCTATTAGAAATAAAATGCTTTTGTGGTTTTGTTTTCATATAGTTCATTAAATGTAAAGAGCTTAACATAAACTGATTTAATTATTTTTTTCTGCTTGCCACTGTTAAAAAAAAAAAGGAAATTGCTTGTCCATAGATTTGGGCCATATTGCTTTTGGTTAAATACTGGAGGGTTATTTTCATACTGCATTTGTATTGAAATGAAACATACTTCCTTAGATTTCTCACAGCCATCCCTGAGGATTGCCTTTGGTTATTGTTCTTTTTCTTGTAAATTTATTCTACGTATGTTTTTCCATACACTGGTGTTTTCCACAGCTATTTGCTTACCCTATTATCTGCTTACATTGCTGTAAATTGAATAGTCCTCTCTTCATCTCCGTATTTATGCACTCTTTTGCAAATTTATATGACATTAGCTCTGTATGTATGTCATAGTTGTCGAGGGGGCAAGTAAAGCTAAGAAAGCCTGCAAGAGTAAGATGCGTTATTGTGAAATGCCCTTATCTTCTGCTGTAAGAAAATATGGTAAAAAGACATTCCTCAGATTGTAAATTTGTGAAGTTTAAGAAATACTGCTTCAGAGAAATTGTTAAAGTGAGTAATGTGAAACTGGTATATTTACATAATCAGACACCCCCAAAGCCATAAGATGTAGCTTTAGATATTCATTCTTTCTAGACTTAGGCTTCTTGTGTAGATAATAGTACCATATATTAAAAAAAAAACTCTATTTCTCACTTTCTTCTGAAGGCAAGCTGTTTTAAAGTGCTTTTTATTTTTTTTAGGCTTCCAAAACTTAAACATTTCACTGCAGGAATATTAATATTATTTAATATTTAAATGTAGCATTACACATACACAGCCATGTTTTAGTGAAGATATTGTTTCTATCTAATTAGTCCAAAGAATATCAACCAGTTAAACTGTTGGGTCAAAGGTATGTTACACTGAAGGAACTGAAGCTTGTTAAGGGACCTGCTCCAAGTATTCAGAATCCTGAACGGCATTACAAATATCCAAAGGACTGTCAGAAAATTGAGTAAACTCCCCAACCATGTTGTTAAAGCAGATACCCTGGCTTTCAAGAAATGAGTGAATGAGATCCTTTTATCAATTAGATACTATCAAATGCGCAACATGTGCTGGGTGGCCTCCTCTTATTTGTAAGTTTTCATCTGTTCTCAGCATTGGGTTCCTGTCTGTGAAATAAAGTATTCCATAGCAGCTATTGTGCATTTTTTTTTAATTAGTTGTCATGTTTAAGGAATAATCAAATGGAAATGGTGGACCACTAGGTGCACTCTTCCTTCTAGACGAGAAGGTTCAAGCCATTGCCTTGGTATTGAGAGTGGGGCCTTTTCATTATAAAAATAATGCATACATGTTTTCACCAATACAGGATAGAGGATATAGGAGGTGGTGGAAATAGAAAATAGACTGGAAAGTAGAAATTCTAGGATTTTAATAATAGGTATACTGACAGACTACCTAATGCCGACATGGAGACAAGTATCTTACTGTATGATGAGATCAAGAAATTAGAGCACAAAATATATATACTGAGAGATTTCAACTTTCCATAGATAGTGTTTTGTGATGGGGATAATCAAAGCTGAAATTTATATTGTTGAAATGAACCTCAATGACAAATTAGGGTTTGAAGAAATGAGGCAGTTCTTACATGTGGTGAAACAGAATCAGATGGATACTGAGTCGGTAGAAGAAGGATTGTCATACTTAGTAATAGGGCTGCAACAAACAGATATTTTGATCATCGATTATTCAGGCAACTATCACAATGATTAATCGATTTAATCGGTTAAGCTGAGAATTATGGCTTGTAAATGAGAAAGGCGGTGACAAATGATGTTTGGCATTGTTCAGTAGCCATATACATTTATTCAACAAAACAATGAGAAACACAAAACTTTGAAAAAGTTTCAACTTAACTTCATTAACATCTTACTTCTTACTGAATCGTCTTTCACTCTTAAATTTCAAGAAAAAAATCTTCTTTAGTACAAAAATAAAACTCAAAATATTGTTCAGAGTTAAATATAAAAAGTTAAACAAAACAGGATTCAAATAAGTTCAAAGTTAAAAAATAAACTTCACTTGAAATCCAACTGTAAACTAAGAACAGCAGCAAGTAATGTAAATGTTTTGATTGACTGTAGGGTTTGCTAACGTGATCTGTGGTGATAAATAATAAACATGTAGATTATATCTCTCTCGGCTGCAGTATCATTTAACCGGGTTATTACCGTAGTCTATTCTGATCGTATTTTTATTTTACGAGATGAGCAATATATGACGGCAGTTCACAAGACAAGCAATGTATGAATAGGTTTACAGGGTGAGCTATTTGTTTTTAGGCTAAACAATTTTATGTAACCCGCTCGATGAAACACTAAGGCAGGGCGAGCTGCTGGTTGTAAAATAAACAATTTTTCAAAGTAACCCACATTTATTTCTGATAGGAAGACAAACTTTATCTCTTTTCTTGAATAGTTCTTTGAAAAGACCATCCATAAGGAGAGGGTTAAGCAAACCGAAAATATGCTGCACTAGCATATTAGGTTGACCTGCAACTTTGCTAACTTTAGGCTAATAGACAAATGAGTGGGAGCTTGTGGTATTTTGCCATCGCTAAATATTTCGAATTATTCAGAAACCTATTCTAATTACTTGTATAATTTGATAGGATATGGTGAGCTTCAGTGATTTTGGTAAGGGTAGCTCATTCTGATAAACTACTCTTGACCGTTCGAACTATGGGTAGCTCATCCTGAGTGGGTAGCTCAGTTTGTCACCGCCCATGCCACCGAACGCCATGCATTTGCTCAAGCATGCACGTTGTACTGCCATGGAATGCTAAATCAATTTATCTTTTGTTTTAAGAAAATGTTCCCACACTTTGCTTCTTTTTGAACTTTCTGCCATTATTGTTTTTTTTTCCTTCAACCTGTTTTCTAGTTACGATGCTACAGCAGCATTGCTGCCCTCTTCAAGTCATTACCTCGCTGGAGGTTGGAGGCCCATTTGAAAATGTAAACAAAAAATGGACAACGGAAATATTTGTCGACAATTTTTTTTTGTCGATATTGTCGACAATATTGAATAATTGTTTCAGCCCTCCTTCGTAATAAAAAAAAAAGTTTTAATGGTTCAAAATAAATTCATCCCTGAACAGTGAAGTCTCTCTTTTGCAAATAAGGGACTAGATGATTTCATGGACATAATAATAAAAAAAGAATCCCTCATAAAAGCGATTCTTAAATGAAAAACCACAGGAATCCACAGCAATGTATTAACATGGATTGAAATATGCTCAAGGAACAGGAAATGTTGTGTCATTATAAGAAATGGTGTATCTCAGGGGTCCATTTTAGTAACACTGATTTTCCTGATTTACGGTATTGGCAAACTAGCTTGCATACAGCTGATTCATAAATTGGGGAATGGCAAACAGATATAGCAGCAGGGGAATTATAAGAGACTTAGAAAGTCATGGATTGGTCAAGCACAATACAAATGTAATCTAAGACTAACAAGTGCAATGTAATCCTCAATGGTATTATGAATTATTCTTAAGTATTACAGTGCATTTCTAAAAGGCTATTCTAGCTTTAAAAAGATTCAAAGATGAACAACCTGAATTATTCCTTGTCTTGGGGATTGTCATAAAGTGAGAAGTTAAGGGAGATACATCTTTTACTTTGAATAAGGGAGACTGAAAGAGCATTTGATTTTAGTATATAATGTGGATCTAATGGGCATAGATAAGGCTACCCCTAGGTCAGTATTTCATACCTGGTAGCAAGGAATGCTGGGATACAATTGAAGACTAAATGGAAATTCATTTATGAGGTATAATAGGACACAAAAGGACATGGATTTCTGGAACAGACTTTCCATCCTGGTCGTTGTGTCCTACACTATGGGCTCTTTTAAATTTAAATTTTATTTACCAATACATTGCCAAACAAGGCAATTCATCTCATATTGTTGATATTAGTGTACTATTATCATATGACACATCAATTTATCATTAATTCAAATGGCTTACATTACTTTCGCAGCACAGTGGGAATCTCTGAGCAGAGTCAAACTATGATACGTTTAAAAGTCTTTGGAGTCATTTTCCCAGGAGAAGATTTTTAAAACTGGTTTCCATTTTTTATTAATATTGTATATGTATACAGCTTTATATTAATTTAGATCATTAGTAAATAACTAATGAGAGGAGGCCATTGTAGTCCATGGTAACTTGTTTGATAATAGCCATTCAAGGATCTCATCCAGCCATTTATTGCAGTTTCTAATAACCTGGCAGGATAGCTTTCTCCAAACTCCCACAACCCTCATTCCTTCTGTTCTCAGATTTAAGATGGCACTCCCATTTAATTTTAACTTATATTCATTTATTTTACTTGGCTGATCCTTTTATCCACTTTTACAACTTACATTTGTACCCACAACCTTCTAATTACAAGTCCAAAGACCCACAGCTTCACACTGCTTTACGTGTGTCCTCAATTTTGTGCTTTACTGTACATTATGAAAAAGCCTAGTTTTCACTCCTCCTATGTTGGTATCATCTGCAAACTAGTTTGCTAGCTGTATTAAGCCAATGTAACACTACAGGACTAGACACGACTTCTAGTTGGTAAATTCCTTACCAAATTACTTAAAAGTAACTTTCGAAAACCCTCTGAAAATCTACATATTCCTTACCTAATACTTTGTGTGTCCATTACAGCTGTCGCTTGTTCAAAGAACGAATTTGATGACTTTGCTAAGCCAGACCTGCAGTAACTTTTCAGTTTTGGATCAGTTTTGAACTAAATCTTAAACTGGGCTGTTTTAGTTCTAATGTATCAGGTAACCAAGCTTTAACAAAGCTGCGCTTCAGCTAGATGGTAGCAGTCCTGTCCTTATACAGTATGTTTACTGTTTTTTCCCCATAATTAACAAATGGAGGAATTCTCTAATTTATATTTCATACTTGAAAACTCAGACATATTTGAATGACTGCTAATTTTGATCATATTTAAATAAACCATGTTTAAAGAAACACATCTTGGTGCTGCTAATGGATGTTAGAATTCAGTTTTATTTATTTTTAAATCAGCCCTTTAGACAGAAGGATGCAAATGACTGATCAGCGAATACTGAAGGAAGGCCACTTTTGATCGGTTTAACAAGCATTTGCAATGAAAAATAATGCATCTAAATACATACTTTTGAAATAACCAAATAACCACTTACATGTTACATGAAGCATCATCCAACAAATAATCATTTGCTTAGAAAAAATGTGTTATAATTACAGTTGACGAAGCATAGTCTCCATATAAAATGCATTAGTTTGGCTTGACACATTAATTACCTGTTTTTGCAGATGTTTTCCTGTATTGTTGTGCAAACAGTTTACCGAATAATTACAGGAAAGTGAGACGAAAATAAAATAAGTGGGAGGTTTCTTGCCGCTGTACTTTCATTCATGCAGATCGGTATGAGATGCAGCTGCAGCCCTGCAAATGGATGGGAACGAGGGACAAGCCCATCAAGGTTGTCATTAAGACTGTTTTTTTCTTTATTTTGGTCCGAGCAATATGTTTATTAGGGTTTCAAATCGCATATTTGTTTTGGAAAATGAAGCGAATAAAGCTTTGCATTCAAGCATCACAAAGGCCGTAATCGGGTAGATAAAGAAATAACACATTATAAATTTCAAAGGAGAATGTGGTCTTGTAGCAAAATAGCAGCATCCATTCAGTGATCACAATGTTTCAGAGATGTATCTATATTATTATTTATTTTCAAGAGATCTTAATTGTAGAACAGGCTGCCTGCTCTTTGTTTGTGGAGGTTCGCTTGAGCTGCTAATCCTTGAGTGTTTTTGTATTACTCTTCACAAAGGATGTAGACCGCAAAGTGTAGAATATGCCTTTTCACCTTTGTCTATTTTTTAGATCCCCAAAATTTTTATTACACATGCTGAAAAAAAAGGAAATCATAATTTAACTGGCACCCAGTAACTGGTACAGGTGTGCTTAGCCATAGACAATGGAAGAGCATGTTCTCAACTTTGAATTAAAATCAGACACTCTCTTGACAGAAGTGTTTTTTCAGATTGATTTACAAATCTGAAAAGGCGATGCATTTGCAGTACTGTACATACACCAAAGCGTAGTGGTTAACATTTATGATGAAACAGATCCTCATCATAATCAAGCTAGACAAGTGTCATTTTTATTTAGAAAATGTCTGGATTGGAGCATATATAGAAGTACAGTATCTGAGATGTAATATCTTGTATCTGAATGTGTATAAGATTCTTTTAACCACCTGGGAAAATGAATAATATTTTAGATTTGTGCCAATTGTTCATAAATTAGCATTATACACTAAAGTAGTCAAGCAAGCTTGTCTGTGTAGCAGCATTACCATAATACATGGTTCAGCATTTCTTGTATGCATATGTACAAGACACAAAACATAAGGGGCAACACTGGTAGCTACAAGGAAATGTATTTAGGACTAAGAGCAAATTATACATACAAACAAAGGGTGGTAAGTATCGAGAGCAAGCTGCCAAACCACATTGTTGACATCAGTTCCCTTGAAACCTCCAAGAGCTGAATGTGATTCTTGGCTTAACACGTTATTGTAGCCGAATGAACGCGATAGCTTGAATGGCCACTTCTGGATTATAACCTTCCTATGTTACGGTTTTTCAATTTTCTTGTTTTCAAACCTTCATCTATGGCCAGTATTTGCATACAAACAAATATGATCAAATTAAGATTTCACAGTAAGGCATGTCATTCTGTTTTGCATCATCTCAAATCTTCACAGCATATTGTGTCTCTTCTGTGGTTTTCACTGTTGACTTTAACACAGTCTGGAGCCAGCTCAGCTACTGTTGACTGTAAATAGGAGGGATAAAAAGGATGCTACAAAACTCAGCTGGCTCAGTCAGTTGTGTATTTCATAGAGTTGTTGTGCAAGTTATCCGCTGTAGATGGAGCAAATGAAATTAATTGCAGTTAATGAAAATAGAGAATTAGGATCTGAACTTAAGTAATCTGTAAATTTAAGAGAGTACGTATAGTGGCTAGTTGTTCTTATATGATTTTCTAATTGTGCCTTCTCTGCTGCTGATTAGTGTGACTTAAGACTAACAGAATTGCTTATTATTTCTGAAAGTTTCTCAAATAAAATCTTAGCGTGCCGTAACCATAGCCTTGGCTTTTCATTTAAAAGCAACATATACTGTACCAATGACATTTGGTGTTAGAGTTATTCTGTAGCTGAGCGTTTCACAAAAGGCTTCTATTACGTGGCAGCTGAGTCTGCTGCTCTTAAAGGTTTGTTGGAAATAAGGCGAGGGGCTTGATCTATCCAGTACTTGAATTTACAAAGCCTGAAATGGTTCAGGTGCTACAAATTGGATTTATTTTCCTGTAATTGAAAATTGGTGTCTTTACCAATAGATTTAGATAGACTTAGATTCTGAACAAAGCATGTTTTGTTTTAATTTTTGTAAGAGAAATGATGAAATGTATAGCTGCAGTTATGTAAGTTTATCATCATCCACAGCATTATTTTTCTGTGCTGCAGCTCTGGGTTTCCGATTCTGTCCTTAATAGGCAGCGAAGGAGGAATTCTGCAGCTGCAAAGCATTCCTGAAACAGGCATTATAAGTAGCTTCCCAGCACCGTGGGCCTTTTCTTCCATTAGTGCAATCAGGTCCTGACTGCCATCCATTGCCTTCCAGTGTTCCCTTTTTCTTTCCCCTTATTCAAGGAATCATTCCGGCTTTGGTGCTTTCATAGTTACTGGCTGCTTGTTGGTTTGCTGCACAGCCGGCCAGATTTCTCAGTCCGCGTGGCTTGTGTGGGAATCCATTTACAGAGCAAAAGCTCAGCGTTGCCATGTGCTCTGACCGAAGTCCTTATACCGCTCCAGGTGAGCCCAGCCCCACCCGGCGGGAAGCTGTGAAGAAGAAAACGGCAGAATACCTGATGCGTGCTGAACAAATATCCAGTCTGTATCTGAAAGCGACGGGGGACAACGACTCCGTACAGTCTGAGGTTCGAGTTTCTCTCATTTTATTAGCCCCAGTTCCTCTCTTTGGTTTGTATGAATCTTGGGAGAAATATTTCTTGCACTTTTCTTGCATTTCTTACTTTAAAATCCCTTTTGAGGAACTTTAGAGCCCTTTAAAAAAGCTTGCTCTTTAATTGAAAGCAATATATTTTAGTGTGCGTCAGCCTTGTTGATGCTAATAAAGCAAAAGATTAGATTTAATTCAAATCTTGTTCAGTGTACAGTATTTGAATGTCCGTTTTATGTCTTCGGTCCATCAGTCTGTCCAGGTCCACCATTACCTTACAAAAATATTTTTATGTGCAGTAAGTGTAATTTTGGAAGTTACTGTACAAAATGGATGGACAAAGTTAGCAATAATACAGGTTCAAGTTGTTGTCTGGTGTTATTCAGTTGTTAAACTAGTATGAGGAAGAGATTTCAAAAAGGTAAATAACTAGACCCTCCCACAGGACAGGAAATACTAAGTGGGGTCACATGACTTCATGTGAATAGTTCGATGTTAGGGAATTGCTTAAAAGAAATAATTATTGCACAGCACTGCAAACACAAAATGTTTAACACTCAAATTTTATGCTAATTACAACAATTAAAATTTGCTAATTGGAGTGAGTTCTAAAGCCTAACATTATCCACCCCAGTAAACTTATTTTATAAAGGTAAGTAAGACTGCTTCCATCAAATTACTGATTCTCCACAGGTATGCCTGTCCTCTAAATTCATGCCAAGAATGAGAAAACCTTCAGTCCCTAATGAAAATGCATCCAAAAAGCAATTCTCTGCCTGTAGAATTTAAAAAAAGGAAGCTCCAAAAAATGGAAAAAAAACAGCTTCTACTTTTAGGGAGAGGCCTGACTAGTTAAGAAGAAATCAGTGGTGTAGATGAAGAGAAAGACAGTTGAGGATGCATTGAAGCTTTACAGTTTACCTGTCCTGCTAAGTGTTATCTGCTTTCTTTTTTGGGTTGGGTTCAGGGGAAATTCTAGCCTTATAAATTGTCCAGCTATCTGGTCTCCACTAGTTTTTAGTTATCTGTACAAACACCCTTAAACAGCTGTATATCTACTGAGCAGCCAGGATTACAATAGGAGAGATGATAAAATGGAGAAGCATTGATGAAAGATCACAGTTTGTAAAGTGTTTGATTTTATTGATTTTATTTGATTTGTCAATTTCTTACGAACTGACAGGATTATTGTAAATTGAGTAAAAACGAACTGCTTTCACATTGACCAGATTCTTCGGTATGAATCTAAACATTTCTCTGAGTCCTTTTATTGTTTCAGTTGTAATGTTCTCTTTTTATTTACTGATATAAAATCTATATATAATAATTGCAGTATTGCCATAATCTGGTTAAAGTATTGAGTTGGGAGTGAAAGCAGCTATTGTTTCATGGAAAAGCCAACTGTTCTTTTGATATTACTATACCTGATCTGCCACTTGGTCATGATATTCTGAGACATGGACCTATGTACATCAGCGTTAAAGGCTGTCCTCATTAGGATCTGGCACATCAAGTTTAACTGAGTGCTTCTGTATTTTTTTCTTCAGTATGGTGCAATACCGCAGTGTGGACATTCTGTATTAGGTTTTATCTAATACCATTTATCTTATGTCTTTCATAAGATATTGCTGCTCTGGCATCAGTCCAGAGAAGAACAACCGGATAATCCAAGGCTTAACTGAATGTCCTACAAACAGGTTGTGAAGAGAACAGGAGGCACTTCTTAACGCAAAGTTTTATGGCTGTAAGAAAAAAGCTTCCCAGTCATTTTGTTGAGGCTGATACCTTGGCTTCTTTCAATAAATGGCTGGATGGGATTCTAGTTCAGTTAGCTACTTACTACCACACAGGCTAGATGAGCTTGCATGAATATGAAATACAAAATCATGATGTTTGGTTTGTAATTGAGGATTGGTTTGGGGTGGGGGGGTAACAAGATTCATATTCTATGCAATTAAATGTTTTTTTTTTTTCAAAAAGCACAATGATAAAATGTCTTCATTTTAGAACAATGCTTAGTTATTTTACAGCGTTGTTAAAATACATGCAGTAGTGTTTTTATAAAACATGTGTAGTAATACAGGCCATTTTATTTCTTAAAAGAAGGAGTTGGTGGTAATAAGATGGATTTAGAATCCCTTGGTAAAATTATAATATGGTTTAAATTTAAATAAACAAAAGCAAAAACAAAACTGTAAAAAAAGCTGCCCAGCCTTAACCTTTTATCTCTGCCTTGATTTATGATAAATATAGTTCTTCTTCAGTCTGGCATTTGCTGCGGCAGGCTATCTTCCTTCAAGTGGCTTTGTGATTGATGTTTAATCTTTGATATCTTCCATTAGCCTCCAGGGCTGCTAAGTTCAAGGCCCTCTTGGAACCTGAGGAGTCCTGCGGAGGAGCTGAAGGTCTTCAGGGTCCTTGGGGTGATTGACAAGGTAATTCTTGAGCAGCTCTTAGAGAGTTCAGTCACAAATCAGCCTCATGCTGGCTGTCTGTCTTTGAAGTGGCGGATCTTTAGGATATGAAACAAAAGCAAAAGGATTGAAATGCATCTGCTTTTAGGGAGAAAAGGGGAGGGGGCAAGATGAGCACCCACAAAAATAGACAAAAGAAGCCTTTAATCTAAGCACGTCTTGTAAGGTCATGCAAAGTTTGTGAGCTTAAAAGGTCAGGCCAAAGGTTATATCGATTTAAATTTTTTTTTAAGTGTCCTATGTTTTATTGCAGCTCATTCAAAACTGTAACAAATGCACAAGGTTGGTTTCATGATTAAAAAGGTAAAATCATTTAAATAAAGAATTTTTTAAATATTTTTCAAAATTGTTTTATATAAAATAACTACAATGCATATGCCTTTTTTTTCTAAGAGCGTGACTGTCTTGAATGGCACAGATGTGAAAGAAAAGTGAAAATGTTTTGCAGTATAGAATATGCATTGTAGACTAGACAAAAACGAGACCCAGACTCAGATGTTATAAAATATCGTATTAACTAGAAAATCAGTTTTTTTTTCCCCCATGATTAATTTTTTGCTTTTTTGTTTTGGGAGGGGAAAAACAACATCTTTTTAATTGCAGTCATTTTATGTTTGGGTGTTTAACAAGAAATACTGTATTTGAGCACATTTCTGTTCTTTGGATTGCCATACAAGTAGTGAATATTTGAATGTTTCATCCAAAATGAAAACTATTAGCTATTAGATGAATAATGCTATTAAAATAATTGTATACAATTACAATAAGAATGACTAATAGTCTTATAATAATCTTAACAGTGGTTTGGCACTCAAGCAATGTCATTAAAAAACAAATATAACAGGACTAAGTAAAATGTGAAAAATATTGTCTTCCTATTTTAAGGAAACGATTACTTGAGATAATGTGATTCCTTTACCTAAACAGTAATCACAGTAATCTTTCTCTTTTACCTTCTGGTGTATAGGCTTGTACTTCATTTTAACTCTTGTTGAAAAGTATGAAACAGCACAAATTCTCTTTAACTGTTTCATAGTCATGTAAAGGTTTCAGATTGACGTCTGCTGTTTATGAAACTGATACCAACTCTTGTTGTCTTTACAAAGCCCGGTATGTAAAGGCAGATCCTGACTGAAATTCAGGGTCAACCCTAAAATTTAAAGCGTTTGTGGTTTCTGTCGTGGTTTCAAGCAGAAATCCGCCACCCAGAAATATCCATCTGTCTCTGAGGATATGCTCCAAGTTGCAGCATCTCCAACAATACAAAGATGAAGGAATGGGTAGGAATGCAGTGCTGTAGTCTCAGTACCAGTCATTTTCACCTATCTTATTGTATAGTAAGTGATTATGGTAGTATTCATTAAATGCAAGAGTGAATTTCTTAATGAATCTTTTTAAATAATTATTTTTTGGTATTGGTTTAACATTCTGAAAGCATAATAAGCTCTGTTCTATAGAATATGAATGGGCTAAAGCAGTATAAAAGAAATCACATTTTTGTCAGCTTCTTTTAGTGTCATTTAACTTTTTTGTTTTATCATTGGTGTGCCTTTCTCTGTTTTAAATAAGATGGTCACATTTTTGCTTTGTTGATAGCTGTTAGTAAGTACTGCTTTTTAAATAGTTTCAGATGTTGCAACAATTATAAATGTTAATCAAATAGCAGCACAAACTTTGACTTTTAGAGGCAACATTATCCCTCTGTAGTTATGAACAGTGCTATTTTCTTTTTAACCTATTGCCATTCTGCGTGTATTAAATTTAGGGATTTTTAAAGATTTTTTTTATACAAATGTGGTATTGATAGTCGAAATAATAAATTCCTTTATTGTAAGTTTGTTAATGCCACTTTTTTCACCTTCAGGCTGGGATATTTGTTCTGCCATCTGTCTCCTTTCCTTTCTCAAGGGATATTCTTGATGTTACATGTCAGTCCGCAGCTTCATGTTAAAATAATTTGAACTAAATATTTTCACCCTTTTCAAAACGCAGTGTCGGGAAGTGCTTTCTTGTACAGTCCCTAGAAGTAACAGAACCCCCCAGAAAAATGTTGAAGGTGAGATAACCCTATAACTATGAAAACAATTCCCATTGGATCAATACGATTGCTTTGTAACTCAAGTATCCAGTCCAGTAAAGACTGTACTAGCGATTTTACAGCATCTGTAAAAGCAATCTGCTGTTCTGCTTTTTAAGTTGCCTGTGAAAGATACCCAGAGCGATAGCACTGAGTACAGTGCACTGTCCACACTACTCGTCTTCCCCGCCTTTACAGCACACCCCGTTGCTCCAATTTCAGCTGCTGGTGTCTCTGGCGACCTTGGTGATTCTGTGTGAGGGAACTCTAAAGGGTCACCAGGTTTTCTTCTGGTGGCTGGCAGGTACCCGCCTCTGGGCCTGCAGTTTGCCTTCTGCTGACTTCTGCGGGACTCCTTCATTCTGTTCACTCAGGGCTTTGATGCATATGTTCTGAAGGTGGCCACTGTGACTTTGGACTGCAGCAGATGGCAGACCTTCAGGCTTCCACTGGCCAAACTGGTGTTCATTTCCTAACTTCATGTTTGATGAAGACTCAGCAGTGCAGAAGAGTGTCTTCTGCTAGGAAGGAACAGACAGATGAAATTAACCGGTGCGGTGCTGGATTTAACTCGGGCCGCTGAGTTATTCCCCAGCCACTTAAAGCACCAGCAGATGCTCAGGCCTTCAGGCTGGCCCACCAAGACTGGCCTTTTGGGTTGTTATTGTTGAAGCAATTTGGGAGCAATAGATTAGATTAACAAATTAGTGAGTGACAGATTAGTGATTTATGACTCTACAGTTAAGAGAATAAGAAGAAGCCCATGAAGATTTCCTTGCTGTTCATCATATTACTTGCAGTAGCAGAGGTACTGTAGCAATGTTCTGTTTATTTTCACATTGAATAACAAACAAGTTATTTATTGTGCATAATGAGTCATGTTAAGTTTATAATAGCAGTGGCAAGAATGGAAATATTGTATTCATTTATTTTATTAAATTTATTTTTATCAAATAAAAATCTGTTTCCAACTTCTTTCAATATTTTGAAGATTTTCACAATACTTGTGATATAGCAATTGAGAAGGTATTTTGATGGGGCATTTAAAGACTGCCTATTCATATACTTTATCTGATAGAAACTAGGAGCAGTTTCAAATCAAAAGTTAATTGCTTCATCATACAGTAGCTTTGCTGTTATGAGTTGTCATCGTTGTTGGCAGCACAAGACATATCACTTAAAATTGCTGATTTTGACATGCCCTGTGCAAGAAGTAGAAATTTTTCTTCCTTTGTCAAATGATCTCAGATGGCCATTTATACAGTGTATCTATATCCAAGTTATTTGTATTTGTCAAAGCATGTTTGAGAAAGCTTAGCCTGAATGTTCCTTATTTTTAAATATACATTTGTATTGATTATTACAGAACTGACAAAATATTTTTATGACAGAAGGGGTCAAAAAACAAATTAAGGCACATTTATACTTCCCTGCTTGGTTGCCATTCTCAGTTTGGAACAAAGTGTATTTTTTGTTTTCGTTTTGCTTTTTGTGGGTTGGGGAACAAATACCTTAGAGTATGTCATAGATGATCACAGGTTATTCTTATTGATTTATTGTAGATAAATAACTTCACAGTAAATCATTTAGACTGCGATATCAAAGAAGGGCAACATTAACTTGCCATTCCTAGGGAGGTAATTGAAATAAATACATGGAAGACAGACACAGAAGAAAAGATAAAAAGGAAGGGGGAGCATCATTCTCTTTCACCAAGGCTTGAGCCATATCACAGATGCATGTTCTTATCAGTCTTGGAACTGGCTAGGTCATTTGGGCATTATGTGGAAGAGAGCATGCTATTCTGTTTATTTAAATTTAGGAAATTCTGATGTCCTTTATTGTGAAATCCTTAGTGTTAAAACATTCTCTACTACAGTGTATTAATGATGCATTGAGAGAATAGGGAAAAGGAAGGTTTAGTCTTGCATAGGACTCGGTTTGTTCCCCCTTTCACATGTTTTAAGTATTTTGTTGTGTTCTTGGATTATTAAAGGCATAGAATCCCCAATTTTCTAGTTTCTACTAAGATTCTAGATCCCATTGATTGTACATTGTGCTACATTGTAACCATTGCATAGTTGGGTTATTGTTAGTAATAATGTTTGCTTGTTTTGTCTATATTACAGCCTTAATATTTACTGAATAGTTACAGCTGAACTGGAGAATAAAATAAAACAGTTTTATGTAATACCCGATTCTTTCCTCCCCTCCTGCTCTTTTGTAGCAATATAGTAATATAATCGTGGACTGAATTATTTTTTTACCTCTAAACTACCTTTTACTTATGCATTCTCTTCTTTAGCTGAAGCAGAATCACTAAATGCAGTTGTGAGTTGGTCTGTCGTTCGTTACTTTAATTTATTTTAAGTACTTCAGTAGCATGGAATGAAGCAAAATCATTTAGAGGAAGGTTTCAGGACCAGGTAGAAGTGATGAGATTTAATCAGGACAAGTGTAATGTGTTCTGCCAGTTTTGTCCTTGAAATGAAAGGGAGAATAAAAGACTTTGGTGATTCCTTCAGGGATTGTGTCTCCTTCATGACTTAAAAAGGCAAGGAAGTTTTTCTCTCTCTCCTAGGTAATTACAGACATTCTCAAACATGCTTGCAGGTACTAGCCAGCTGTACTGACTGCATTAACTGTGGTATCAGATGACTTGGCAGGGGAGGCAGACACGTTTTTCTTAAAGTTCCTCCTTGCCGGCCTGCAAGAGATAACTAAATGGGATTGTCAAACAGATGGAAAGCTTTCACTGGCCTGATGTTTGTGTTCTAATTATATTAGTGCCGGCCCTGCTTGGCTCGTCAATGAATGTTTATCCAGGGGCCGATTTATAATCATTTAGCCAACACCTGTTTGGGAAAAAACAGGGGTCAGGGGCCATGCTAGAAAAAAAGACAGTCACATATGTTCTGTACTATAGTGTCTCTTTGTGAGGAACCGCTCCATGAGGGGAAAATTAAAGAATTTCTAATGTTTCAGTGTAGTGTGAGGATGACACGAACTTTGCCGTTGCTGGTTCAATCTTTTACTAATAGAGGTACAGTATCACCCCTCTATTAGTTTTGTACTCTGCTTGAGACCAAAAGGAAACGTTAAAACATTTCAGAACCCAGTTTAAATCTATACTTTAAAATCATATGTAACTGGTTGTTTATGCTACAAATTGCTGTTTTATTGAAGACTCAGTAGTGTTTCATGCTTTAAAAGTAGGTATTGATTTTTATTTTCTTAAATTGCCTTATTTTTTGTGCTCATTTCTATAAAATGAGGTGTTTTTCATTTTGTGGTGTTTTTATCTACCTTTGTGTATTAGAATTAAAATAGTGTCAGCTTCATGGAGGCAGAATGTGATTTTTTCATATAGTAAAGGGTTTTGGAAGTATGGAACAACTTACCCAGTCAATACCCCGGCTTATTTATAGAACCGTGGCCGAGATCATTGAATCAGTTAGCTCCCAACTGCCAAGCAGGCTGGGTGGGCCTCATGACTTCCTCTCATTTGTAGGTTTTCTTATATTCTATTAGAATATAGATATAGTGGTATTCATCTACTGCAAATATTGTATCTTCATAAAAGACTGTGCAGAGGTCGGAAAGAGTTTGTGAATCCCCACTATCATTATTGGAATTGATAACCCTGATACCCTTGTTTAATTAAAACCAAACCACATATTTACTGTTTCAGTATGTTTTGAGATGCTGCGGTGTGTGAAGTAGAAAAAATAAATAAAGAATCAGCATATACGTAATAATAAGTAAAACCCTATATTACAGTTAAGGGGGTAATGAGAAACCGATTAATTGCATCGTGGGTAACAAACGAGGACTGAGTTTGGGCAGCCTTGTGCTATATAATGGTCAGAAATGTTGTGTGTTGAAACACATCATGCTATGATCAAAAGAGAGGACCTTAGAAAAAGACTAGTTAATTCTCATCAGTCTGTAGAGGATTACAAATTTATTTTTAAATTTTGGGGTGCAATGGCTGCATCCATACACTATCAGATAGTCTACTGATGAAGCATATTCAGGATCTGGATGATTCTACTCAGATCCTGCCAAGATCTCCTCAAGAGGAGCCTGGGGATTTATCCAGAAAATCTCAAAGTACCCCAAGAGCACCTGGACAATCCCCAAGGCTACGGGAAAAATGTTCTCTGGACTGATTATAAATATTTTGCTTAAAAGCAAACAAAATACTTTTAAACACCAATTTAATTGTATACTTTTTAAATCATATGTAACTGGTTAGTTTTACACCTGGTAAAATGTTTTTCACGAAATTGAATTGAGTGCAAGGCAAACTTTGAGAAGGTAAAAATTGTTTTGGGGATGACAAAATTCAATTTTAAATACTGTTTGCTAAAAGCACGTTTCACATCCAAACATTCGTCTTTCAGACATCATTGACATCACCTTTCAAGAAAAGGGTGCATCTGTCTTTATATTTTACTGCGATAAGAGTGGACAGCCTCCAACAGCGCCTCCTGTGGGCAGTTCTTTTTTCTTTTTATTGTAGACCTCTAGGTTTTTACTTGAGTACTGTGGTGGCTTCCAGCAACTGAAAGGTCAAAATCTAAATACATCCGTTTGAAGCAGCCCTGCTGCTGTGCCTGTAGCATCAAGAACGCAGGAAGGGGATTTTTCTTAAGATACAGAAGCTGACATTGATGATGAAAGAAGTTATTTGCTTTTGTTGATCTGATCTGGGCTTCTTCAGTGGAGAAAATTACTGAATGACCTCCTGAGCAACATGGTTAAAGGTAACAAGACCATGAACTGTAATATGTAAAAAAAAAAGAAAACTTTTATATTTCAGATCTTCACAATGTCCACTTTTCACCTTTTAGAGCTCATGATTACTTTTGTAAAATGGCACAAATATTCTACATGAGCACGTTAGTAGTTTTACATTTGAACATAACAACAAAATGCTAAAGTGGTATTTTTATTAATTTACATATACCATATTATCAGTTTAGGTGACAACCTTATTAAGGGAGTTTTTGTTTTTGCAAGTGATAGGTCTGATGCCTTGTAGTATTATGCTCTTCAATTGAGCTACCTCAATTTCTGGTTTGAGCTGTGATTTGAGCAGAGAGCTAATTAAAGATGGGCTCAAAATCAAATGAAGTGTTTGATAATTGGTAAGGGATGTGGTGATTAGGTCAGTTGTTTTCAGCATATTTTAAATAGTTGCTTGCTAGACAGTCTTCATTTTTAGCCAAATGAAAATTCTAGTATGCTTCCTTAGGTTGATAAGGTGTATTAAAGCCTTGTAATGTTTCCATGAGATAAATTACACATTGGGATGAGATTTTCAAAATCTTGAAATAAAATAACAACAAAAATACATCAAAAATATTTATTAACAATCTTTAATTTAACATGTAAAGTAAGGCTTAGGAGAGATAAACATTTTAAAATTGTATTTTGGTTTCAAAGTTGTTACTTCAACATTTACTGAGTAGCAGTGAAATTGATGATGTTTTGTAAGGTTTTGGAGACCTTTTGGAGACATCTGTTCACTTGATGTCTGACAAATCTACAGAGCAGCACTTTAAGAACAGCTTACTGCATTTTGGAGTTCTGTCATCTAATTCATAGTGTAGTGCACATGTATTAAATCATCTTGCTGTTTGTTTATGGAATTTTACACATAAATTAATTGAATGCTTATTTTGTCAGAGCATGTTTAATTAAACTTAAATATTTAATATTTCTGAGATCTGCTTTAGGTTCTTTAGGTTCATTTTGTGAATATTAAGGATGTTTAACTTCTTTCTAGTTAGGTTGGCATGATGGAATTAAATGTTGGTATATACTGTTTGGCATTCTGCAGTCTATGTAGTTTTTGAAGATTGCTATCACTAAGTGTCCCTCTGACTTTGTTATACATGTCAAAGTGTTTATTTTCTATATCTTCAGTGAATTACATCTGTTGTATTAAAGGTGTTTAACGTTTTTGTTCCTCTTGACGTTTTGAGAGTTTTCAGTAACAGTGGGGTTTGACTTCACATGTGCAGAAGAAACTGTTCGTTCTGCAGCACAACTGTATGTCTACTCCAAACCACATAAATAACGTTTCAAATACATCAATCTTAAGTTTATGCTTTACATTTTATTGACTTGCATTGTTTATTTGTGATTTCAAAATGATAAACCTTTCATTTTGTGTTCTCCTTACCCCTTTGTGTAGATGTACTGAGCTACATAGTCAAGCACTTAGGGACTGCACTGTTTGCTTTCTCATGACTCTTTTTTTATCTTCAGGTGCTGCTGGTTATAGATAAAAGGACACAGGAGACATTCATTTTGAAAGTAAGTGACAGAAACGGTGACTGTTGTATATATAAATCACTGGTGCAAATAACATTTTCATACAGTGCAAAATTTGTTCCCTTCCAATGACATCCCTTTTTGTGCTTTACAAATGATATGTTACATGTTTACATGAGTGAATGTTTAACTTATTTTATAAATGAAAGAAGTTAAATGTTAGCACAAATCTCAAAGAAAAATCAAAGCCTAAAATGCACATGCACTATGTTTATGTGCTTAAGTATTCACACATTTTACTAAGGCAAGCATAAATAAATTCAGATGCTCCAAATTACTTTGACAAATCACATAATAAGTTGAGTGGCCTCTGTCAGTGTGAGGACAGAATAAATACACCAGTCCCTTAATCCCTTAATCAAGTAGTGAATTTCTACCATGAAGACTAAGGCACTTTAAAATCAAATCATCGATGAAATTGTAGAAAGGTGTAGGTCAGGAGAGGGGTATAAAAATCTAAAAGCCACTGAACTTCCTGTTGTGCATCAAGAAGTGGAAGATGGAGGTGGATGGCTTATCATGCCATCCTGGCATTGCCTAGATCTGAATTCCTCTCCAGGTGCTTCGAGTTAGGCAAGGATGAAACGATATGCAACTGTGTAACATACCGTTGTTAGTTAGATATGGAACTCAAAAGACTAATGGTGACTTTGAAAGAGCTATGGAGTTCATGGCTGAAATGAGAAGAAGTTGTGATGTCCCAGTTGCTCCATAAAGCTGGCCTATAAGAGAGGCAGACCTTTGCAAATCATGCATGATATTTGCAATAAAACATTTATGTGATTATGCAAATGTGGCAACCGGTTTTGATGGTCAAATGAGACAAAATTGTAATATTTTGGTGTAAATGCAAACTTTGTCTGATGCAGATCCAAAACTGCATCACCCAGTTAGCACCACCCCTACTGTCAAGGGTAGTGATAGAATTATGTTATGGGGTTCTTTCTAATCAGCAGACACTGGGAAGCTTGTCAAGATCAAGGGAAATAGATGGAACAAAATATAGGCAAATCTTAGAGAAACACTTCATTCAGTCTACTAAAGACCAAAAATGGAAAGAAAAATCATTTTGTACAAAACAATGACCCAAATCTGAGAGATCTCAATCTGATACACAATCTTTGGTAAGACTTGACGATTGCTGTCCACCAATTTGATAGAGATTGAGCAAGTTTGCACGGAAGAATAGATGAAAACTTCACCATCCAATTTCCATGCAGTCCAAAGTGAATAGAGACTTATAGAAAAAAAACCTCTCAAGCTGTAATTGCCGACAAACATTTTTCTACAAAGTACTGTCTCAGGGGGTGAATAGTTATGCCATTAACATTTTAGGTTTATTATTTTTATTTGCAGTTTATCCTGACTTTTAACTTTTTCACCCATGAAAAGCATTCAGTTTTAGCATTCAGATTTTGATTACAGTTGTTTACTTTGAATAAAAATTGCATACCCATTTGTAATTGAACTAAATGAGAGGTTATTGGAAGGGAGCGAATACTTTTGCATGACACTCTAAATGTGATCCAAAGATAATGGGTGAGAAAATGGATAAAATGTTTGTAATTATATGTAACAGCAGCTAAACATATTGACATTTTTTATATTTTTTATTAATTTTAATAGAGAGATCTGTGATGCTGTGAACAGAATTGTAGTCAGTGTAATTTTTAAAATATTTTTAAATGGTTGTAAATTTGTGGAATGAATCTAGTAAAAATGAAAATTATGTAAGGTTCTCATTTTTATTTCCTTTAAAAATTACACCCAGTATTTTTTTTATTTACTTTTCTTCACAACTTTAACTTCACTCCCTCAGTATGATAAAGCATTTAGTCTTATCTCTCCATTCACTGCAACATACCAAAGCATGTCATGGGAAACCTGGTTCCAGAGGTTCAAACCTCAGGACTGCTCAGCTGAGACAGGCTTCTCAACATGGCTAAAACTCTAAAACATGCTTGGCTTGCCTTGCACATACTGTAGCGGGCTACCTCTGCTTATCCCTGCTCCCATCCTGTCCGTTTACGTTTAAAACCTCTGTATTATCTGTGCTTCCTTAACCCTGAATTAAGATGCCAGATTTTTCATATCTTTTTCACACGTAAGATATGCAGTATACGTGCAACACACATTTTATGGATTTAAGTTACCCACATTGCTGTTAATGTTACTAATAAACCATGTGAATTACAACTTCTGATGCCTTTAAGGTTAGCTTGTTGAAACGGGTAATTTATTTCGTTGGAAACAATAATAACATTGAAATTGTCTGAAAAATTCAAAATGTCATGTGATGTGCAAGACCTAAGTAAAATATGCTGTATGTTCAGTGGCACATTGGTTTATTTTTCTAATATAAAGCTATATGTATTATATGTAAATGAAGATGTGTCTATGCACAATATATACACATTTTGTATGTGTGGCATTTAATAATGTATTTTAAAAGAATAAACAGGGAATTGTTTTTCAAAGCTTAGTTGTATTTGGCATAAAATAAAATCATGATTTTGTCTGTGACAGCCTTACTTCAAAATAATCTGCATTGCCAGTACTGTTACTCAGAGTGCACACTGCCTTTAATTTGTGATCGGTCCCTCTGATTAGAATACATTTGTAAAAAGGCTTGGTTCCATCTTCCTTCATTTGTTACTTAACATCCAAAGTATAGTGATAGACTTTTCTTTGAGACATTTTTCTTCTCCTTAACAAAATTGGGTTTAAACAAAGAGAAATAGCATGTGTCATTCAAGTTTTTTTTCTTTTTATTGAACAGCCTATTCAAACATAATCACTGCAGTGTTCCATGAAAATTATATCAGGACTGCAAAAAAATAAAATACTTAGCGCCGCTTAAAATATTGTGGTAAAATGGCAGAAATCAGTTATAAAAAGGATTCGAATTAGCCTGTTAAATGAGTACATCACTTCTTGATGTACATCATTTAGAGACTGAAATAATACATTTGCACAACTGCATGCATGGATTGGTGTTTGTGTTCGCCGCAGATGTAGTGTAGGTTATGTACAGAATAGCAATAACCAACACATCTCATGATAAAGTCATACGGATGCCCTTTTCCCCCTCTCGCTAGAGCAGTAGTTAAAACAATAAAACTGTGACCTTTAATGGCCTTGGATCTTCCTCTCCTTAAACTTTGCAATTTAACAAGGTCTTTGTGCAGAAAGGTCGCAGGAAAATAACAGCAAGTGCCATCCTGATGACTTAGTTTGAGAAATACTCTAATAAAAACATTGACCCATGTAATTGATTTTAATGGCAGCTTTGTGCCATCTTCTGTACGCTGGATACCCGCCAGATGCCATCAGCAGGGCCTCGGGGGACTGGGGGCATGGTGCAGCAGATGAGTGGTTTCTCTGAAGTCGAGAGTAACAAGAATAGATTAGTTTGGTTGATAAACACAGAGCGCAGCATGCACCAAAGGCAACTGAGGGTACAACTGACCTTTTTGTTCTCTGTCAGGGTCTGAGGAAAAGTAGCGAGTGCGGCAGGAACAAAAAGACCATCATCCCCCGCTGTGTGCCCAACATGGTGCGTCTGCACAAGTACATCATCTCTGAGGATTCCATTTTCCTTGTACTGCAGCACGCAGAAGGTCTGTCAGTTGTTTTAAGCACTGTTTTATTTTTTTATCCTATTATTCCATGGTCGTTAGGGGTTGTTTGATCCGGTGGGGTTTAGTTACACCTCTGTTATTGAAGGAATAGGGACTGACTTTTATTTATTGGCTTCTCTCCTGATACTTCCAGAATCTTGGCAGCTTTTAGCCAAAGGGGCTGGCAGCCTACCTTGAAATGTGCTCCTGTTTTAAGTGTTTCATACTGCTTTTTTAATTTATTATTGTTTTTTGTTCCATTACACCTGGTAAACTTACTAAAACGCACTTCAATACAGTACATACAGGGCAAATGAAGGGTAAAGGCTGTAGGAGTATGTCAAAATGCTGCAGTTAAAGGTACCGATGATTTATTTTAAATCTGGTAAATGACTTATGATAAATTAGGCCTTGTAAGTGGAAAAATGTTAAAATCCTGAACTATTTATACCTTCTAAAAACTGTCATTTTGCTCAGTTCTAGTTTTTAACGTAAACAGTTTCAAAGTGATATTAGCTGGCAGCATGATGGAAATCTAGGGCATTAAGATTCTAAAAATGGTCTATTGTTTTTTTTTCCCCCATATAATCATGTAGAGTTATGCAGAAGTGCCTCACGCTAAACAGAAACACGTAATAGAAGACTAGAGCCGTATGACAGTGGAAAGTGGAAGTGGTCCTAGGTTGTGACTTTAAATACTCGTTTCATAGATGGAAGCACAGATGCACTCCTGGCATTTTACCCTTCCTCTGAGGGTAACCCTAGGTAACCATAGTGTTTAATGGGACTAGGGCAGCAACAGAAAGGTTTTCATTAACCACTGCCTGGCAGTTGAGAACCTTCATCACAAAACTTCATCAGTGAATGGAGGGCATTTTCCCAGCTCAAACAGTGACCTAGCATTGTATTATTTTTTTCTTCTCTATGTCTTAAAAAGATATTTTGTAATTTAAGTTTGAAAGTGCCGTTTTTAAATTGCCCCCATTGTTAATTATGCGCCCGATGTTTATTTACTTAGAATAAACCAATAAGTATGGAACCTTTAATACCCAACTGATAAATGAATGTGTTTGTGCCACACTGGAAAATAACAGCTGGCCTCATTACAAAACCTTACAGTCTTTTCTTGCATGTGAGGCGCTGGATTAAGGTTTCGGTGAGCGCAAGCAGAACAATACCCTTTGCGGTGAAACTGTGCTTAATTGTTTTAATTTACTGCATCAACAGCACAGAGGCAATAGGGGGGAAAAACAATGCCAGACTATCTGACAGAAGTGGTTTCTTTCTGCAGAAGTGCTGCAGTGTTATTTCAGTTTTCCTTATTCCAGGCTAATGGCTCTTTATTGCTGCCCTTCACACAGCCAGATGTTGCAGAAGAATGCATTGTGTCACAGGTCATTATTTTCTACAGCAGGTGATGCTGCAGGTCATTATTAGCAACAACACATGGGGTTCTTATTATCTGCTGTGAAAACGAGTGTGTATTTCAACACCCTAATTAGAAGTCAGGTATGTGTTGATAAGATTTCTTGCAAGAATACCTACACTGTGCTGTGCAGTGATTCATCTGGAAGATGGAATCAAGGGCATAAAAGCCCTGGCACAAGCAAAATGGTGATGTGATCCTTTCTTCTCCGTTAGAATCCCTGCACATTAACACGCGAGTGGAACGTCAGTATCTTGCATTATTTTCCTCGTGCAGATCAGTGTAACTTACTAGTTTTTTCAAAACTAGTTAAAAATAAAAACAGAAGTGCGGATGGTAGATAAAGTAAATGTGCATGTACATATTGCAAACGGGAACCATAAGGTTTTAAAAATGAGATTAAGAATGCTGTGTAAATTAGCCTCCCTGATGTCTGTGGGGTTGGATTTCGAAGAGTGTAGGGGCTTTAAGGCTGGATTTGTGATCACCAAAGCACCTCCAAATGGAGGAATGTAAAGTAGACATGGATCTAAGGAACCTAGAATACTGGGCACTGGTAAATCATTGTAATGAGGAATGATTTATTCCAGGCTGAGCCATTTACTAACCTCGCTCAGATTACATATGTCATGTTTTAGCTCTCAAGCACCATTAGAATGATTTTATTATTTTTGTGACTCCCAGGTGGTTGATTTAGGAAATCAGGTGCAAAGTTTTAGTAATTTTTTTTATCTAACTCTTGTACAATTTTTGCCATTTTCCATTCTTTACCAAGATACATTTTGGACGCAACTGGAAAAAGAAACTGTGTTAAAGTTTATTACAACACAAAATAATTTATTTTACTTGTTGCTTGAGCATATACAAAATGTTAAAAATAGCTCTTGATTTGTTTCTGTAGACACTCAAAAATTACACTTCAATATAAAATCCAAACTCCCATTGCATTTAGGCTTTTTGAAACAGCACCAGTGCACAACTGGCATGCTGTAGTACTGCTGATTTAGGATAAGTTGACCAGGGTTTTCTGGGATTTAGGTGAAGCAGAGACCACTGTGATTTGATTGGGCACTTTCAGACTTGCAGTATCATCACCAAGAGAAAATGTCACTCCTTCAGACAGTTCTATCACAGTCACAGTAGTTTATTTGTATCTATTTGTAGTTTATATTGCGTATCAAATAGATCAGCAGCTAAGTGAATCTAAAGTCTATTCATTATGTTCTTCAAGGAACCTGGAGTTTGGGCATCAACCACCACATTGGGATACTTATTCCAGATACCCACAGTTCTTAAGAACTTTTTCGTGTCCCTAGTCTAAAATAATTCCCTTTTAGTTTCCAATTGTATTCAGGTATAACTTTTATGCTTAACCCACTGAAGCTCAGCAGTGTGAGCCTGGCCATTACCTAGATGGGAGACCTCCTGGGAAAACCTAAGGTTGCTGCTGGAAGAGGTGTTAGTGGGGCCAGCAGGGGGCGCTCACCCTGAGGTCTGTGTGGGTCCTAATGCCCCAGTATAGTGACGGGAACACTGTACTGTAAAAAGGCATCATCGGATGGGACATAAAACCAAGGTCCTGACTCTCTGTGGTCGTTAAAAATCCCAGGGTGTTTCTCAAAAAGAGTAGGGGTGTTACCCAGGCGTCCTTGTCAAATTTACCATTGGCCCTTACCGATCATGGCCTCCTAATAATCCCCATTTCTGAATTGGTTTCATCTCTATGTTCTCCTCTTTACTATTAGCTGATGTATGGTGAGTGTACTGTGTACTACATCATCCAGCTGCTCATTGGTGGTGGAGGAGAGTTCCCATTACCTGTAAAGCGCTTTGAGTTTAGCATACAGAAAAGTGCTATATAAGTGTAAGCAATTATATAGCAATTATGTGTTATGAATTTGTTCCCTGGGTTGGTCCTACCTGTACTACACTTGAGAATTTTATATACCTTGACCAAGAACTAAATAAAAGCTTTAAGTCTACTACATACTGTACAACAATCTCATAAAACCAGGAATCATTCTTTGTACTCTTTAATGACTACTTTGTCATTAAAAGTCCTATGCCACTATGCATAAAAATAAGGGTGTTAGCTCCAGTGTCCTTACTTAATTGAGCCCCGGCTTGCACCAATCTGGCCTACTTAATTTTCTCCCTTAATTCAGTTGGCCTGCTGATGTGCTGCATGTTACCGATGTAGATGATGCTGTACAGTCCTGGATGAAATTGGTTAGATTAAAGCAATTTCTGTGTGTGGTAAAACATGCAGTATAAATGTAAGGAACTTGGTAAGTACATAGAACAGTTTTCATTAATACTCCCTTATATGCATAGCTTCCTGCAGCTCATAATTACCTGTATGTACAGTATACTTAAGGTTTGGAGTTTTCTTAAGCAGATCACATTAAGAACATTTTTATTTACTTTTTAGAATGTTTGAGCATTAGTTTTTCACTTGGAAGTTGTGTGTTACAATGTTTAAAGGATTTGAGGAAATGAAATGTGTTACTTTGGGAAGGGTGTGGAGACATTCTATAGGCACTTTAGTTTTAGTATGATTTCAAAGCAGCTAATATGACTTGAATGCTTACTCTGGGCAGGGCCTTACTCCAGTCAGTCTTAAAATGCAATTGTATACAGTAGGTATGCAAACAATATGTACTGTGCATGTATTTTTTCAAAGGCAGCTGCAAGGCATTTTAAGAAGTAGGCTTAAGATTAGATTTGGGTGTGAGGTTATTTAGATTTTATTCACATTATTTTAGAATATTAAGAGGGATTCCAACAGGGGACAAAATATTATTTGCTAACACAAGGGATTGCCTGTAGCTGGTATAGGTATAACTTGATGTTTAAAGACTAAAACTAGTGAGAGGGTCAGCAAAATTATTGTCTTTATACTGTCTTCAATATACAGTTTAATATTTCTTTCTTCATTGATTTACTGTTTGGGAATAAGATCCGTTGAATTGAAGAAAGGGGTTTAAGAATTATAATTAAGATACTGGTCGGGTGACTACACTTGTAATAATATTTAATAATAGAGTCATTTTAATGCAAGTCAATACAACTAAGGCAAAAAAAACATCTTTAAGAATCCTGAGCTGAATACCAAAATAATCAAAGAAATAAGTCTTAATAGATTTACATAGTTATGTACACAGTATTAATTCAACTATTATTATAGAGTGATTTTGGAACACAATTGATGCATGAAAATAATGTATAGTGCACCAGCCCTATTTTGTTAAATTGCATTAATGATTATTTGCATATGACTGCATAAGTATTAAAGGTTTAGGGTGTCTTAATGAAAGCAAAGTGCTAATAGCTTTTGACTGATAGAATGCAATACAGTAAGAAGATTAAATTGAAATTTAAAGTTATGCCTGTATGTATCAGGTTGGTATTTTAATAGATTTGTCTCATTGTGATAAGCTAAAGACACATCAGAAAAGAGTCTGACTGCTGTATTAGGCTTCACAGCTACAGTACCATCACATTTACATAAAGTTGCATTTCTTAATTACATGCATTTTGATTATTCTCTATGTCATACATAATATTAAGTGTGAATTAACACTTTTTTTCTCAAACTTTGAAAGCCATTAAATTTTCTCCTTTTGTAGTGCTTGTCCTTTGTTATCTGGCTGTTGAATGTATTCATTTCTACACTGCTATTCCAGTAAAACAATCTTGAAGCCAGTCCTAAAGAACTGAGCTTGAGGCAAACCCTTCCACTTGATCCAGCAAGGGTCACAGGGGAGCTGGAGCCTACCCGGCAAGAAACAGCTGCAAGACAGGATACACCCTGGACAGAATGCCAGTCCATTACAGGGACAAACAGGGCGGAGCGGTGGCTCTGTGGCTAAGGATCTGCGCCTGTGGCTGGAAGTTTGCCGGTTCAAATTCCGCAGCCGGCAGAGGAATCTTACTCCGTTCGGCCCCTGAGCAAGGCCCTTAACCGAACTGCCCAGGGGCCCCATATAAATGGCTGACCCCGCACTCTGACCCCAAGCTTCTCTCTCCCTGTCTGTGTGCCTGTGTGTCTCATGGAGAGCAAGCTGGGGCTTGCGAAAAGACAAATTCCTAATGCAAGAAATTGTATATGGCCAATAAAGTGGTCTAAAAAATCAAATCAAACCAGGGCCAATTTTTCCCAGAAACCGGTTAACCTACCAATAAGTTTTTGGACTGGAGGAGCATACCGGCTTACCCGGCTGAAACCCATGTAAACACAGTGTGAACATACAATTCACACAGAAAGCACTCCAGGAATTGAACTCGGGACCCCAGGGTTGCAAAGCAAGAAAACTACCCACTGTGCCACCATGTCATCCATTAAGGCTAACCACCCTAAAAATTTGACATTATGTTCTTACAACCACCTGTAAATACTGTACATTATCAGCTTCTATTTTCTTACTGTATATCCTTTTGTCTTTGTTATATTTATTTTCACTTCAGCAAAGTTTTGCCTCCTACTCAGCAATGTTTAGTGACTTATAAGTATGCTTGAGATAAGCAAGTATGCATTGCATTTTGAGCTGCATTACTGCAGTGAGTGCCATCTTCACTAATCATACTTTACAAATCTCTAGTGCACAAGACGGACATTGATATATTTCAAAATGATTTAAAATTGTAATCCTGGATGTAGACCTTTGATAAAATTTGCATGATATGAAAACAAACATTAAATGCTTGTAAGCACTGACACGGTTGTCTGTCTTTCCTGTCTTGTCTTATTTGCAGAAACCACTTTAGCTGGAGTTGTTGGTGTTGTAATCTACATGTTCTTATTTTAAAAAAATTGTTAGAGCTACAGTATAACAGTGTAATCTGGGGGGAAACTAACTCTTGAAACAAATGTATCTTAATTTAAAAAAGTAATAGCAAATATTAAAAATGGACCAAGTGAGGACGAAATATTCTGTGAGCTATCCCTGAAGATTTAGTTTTTTTTTCTGTTATGTGTTTTGAAGTTTAATCATTAGTGGTATATTCAGTATCACTGTTGTGAATGTTTTTCTTGTATTTTTATGTATTTAGGTGGAAAACTATGGTCCTATGTGAGCAAGTTCCTGAACAAAAGCCCGGAAGAATGCTTTGACATCCCTTTCATTCAGAAGTCGCACATTACATCAGTTCACACAGATGGACACTTCGTGTCTGGAACAGAGGATGCAGGCAGTAGCATTGAATCCGGGGAACAGGGGAACATCAAAACACTACAAGTCCTGCCTTTGAAGACCAGCCTCACCCCAAGTTCCCAAGATGATAGCAGCACTCAGGATGATGATGGACAGGATAGCTCTCGTGCACTGTTTGATTCTGGTGCTACTTCCGAAGAAGAGTGCACCAACAGCTACTTGACCTTATGCAATGAGTATGAGCAGGAGAAGATTGAGCCTGGCTCCCTGACTGAGGATCCTCTGTTGAAAGTGGAAGTTGAACAGACTGGGGCTTGTGAGGTAATACCATCATCAAGACCACATTCCCTGCTCAGCAATGACAGCCTCTGTTCCCCCATCACTACTCAGGAGCTGAAGTTCTTCACAGAAGATGTCAGTTCTGAGGTCTTCAGTCCCTCCAAAACTGTAGATTCTCTAGACCAGTCAAAAAAGAGCCCTATGGAGTTCTTCAGGATAGACAGCAAAGACAGTGCAAGTGATGTCTTGGGTGTTGAGGTAGGTGACAAGGTCTCAGGGCTAAAGATCGAGCCCCCCAAGCCTTTTCAATCTGCCACAGTTGTAGAGACATATCCTTTAGACAATGTGGCAGTCAAAGGAAGCAAAATGGACTTTGCAGCCTTTGATAGTGACAGAGGATCCAATGAGTCAGTCCCTGTTATTTCTTTCAAAGATGCAGTTGTTGAAGACACAGGTGATGAAGGACGACCACCTGACCTTCTGGTAAACTTGCCTGGAATTTCAGATTCATCCTCAGATTCATCTGTTTCGGTTCATGTGGAAGAGACTAAAGGATCCCCAAGGTTTGGAAAGCCAGATGTTCTACAGCTCAATAACAGCACAGGGCAAGACACCCTCTTCACTCAGTTTCTTGGGGATGACCTCTTGGTGTCTAGAGGTGCCATTTCAAATACCTCAGCTGCCAGTCATGAAAAGCACCTCCTTGATCAATTTAGCAGTGCACTACACAAAGACAGTTGTCTAGCTTTAAGTTTGGAAGTAGCTGAAAGTGACACAGTGCCTGATGAGTCTGCAGATTTCTCTCAGGAACTCTTTGCTCCAGAGTCTTTAAGTTTACATGCATCACAGAAAACAGAGACTCCAAATATGACCAAAAGTGAGTCTTCAGCAGAGGCAGAGCAGAGTTTACACAGAGTAGGTGTCTTGGGAGAGGCTGAATCAAATACCAATGAGCAGGTTCTGCTTTTTGAACAGGACAGCCAAGATGACAAGGAAGACAAAGAGAGCAAAGCTCAATGTCTCGGTGAGGAAGAAGGGACAGAAGACAAAGATATTTCTCAGCTTTTCAAGGACTTAGATGAACTTTTAGTCCTGGCGTCCCAAGCTCACATCCCTGAAGTGTACATTCAGCGCTGGGCGGTGGAGCTGGTTCTTGCCCTTGAGGCACTTCACCAAGAAGGAATTGTGTGTCGTGATTTGAACCCAAACAACATCTTATTGAATGATAGAGGTCAGGAACTTTTGCAAATGCATTTCTTTTTATTCGCTGTTGCTTCCAATTAACTGAGTAGGCGTTTTATCCCGTAATTAGTATCTTCATTTCCTGTCTAAAGCCTCATTATCAATGCGGCAAATTCACCCGCAGTAATAGCTTCTAGTACTTAATGATGCCATTATTCTTAATGATACTGTTTTTAGCTACAAAGGAATAATTACAGTTCACTTCTGCTAGAAATGCAAGGGAAAAAATGTTTTGATTTCTCCTGTCGTTTTGTTTTTAGGACACATTCAGCTAACATATTTCTGCAGGTGGACTGAGGTTGAAGACTCCTACGACAGCGAAGCAGTTGCCAGAATGTACTGTGCCCCAGGTTTGAACAATCAGCTCAGATGTTTTGTTCAGTATATTCACTGAAAGGATTATACTCATTCTTTTTATGTGTCCCACATGTTACATTTCATTTACTGACTTCATAACTATAACAGTTTTATTTGTTTTCTGAAGTATAAGGTACAGTATAATATATATGTGGATCATAGCTGTCTACCTCCTGTTTTTATTAACTGCTGTTTAAATGCAGTATTGATGAAAGTGCCTTTTTAAAAAGGTTGGTTGCTTTTGTCATGTTTTTCTTTCATTTCTGTGTAGATTGCTTGGATATATGATATCTAAATACAAAGTAAAGACTTTTTATTCATAATTTAGATTTTTTAGTCATATCTATCAATTGTTTTTTCTTGTACATGATGAGAGACCATCTGTTTTTAAAGTTGTAATTGCCCAAACTGTCAAAGTTGTAAAACACTAGAAGTGAGGCTAGTAATGAAAGGTGTATACTGTAGGACATGCTGTAGAAGGCTGTGAATCACATTGCCTAACTGTTAATTGTATTCAAGAAACATTTTGCCATATATAGAGTATGTCATTATGCCTAACAGTGGCTTCTTTTATCTTAAATTTTGTCAGAATGATACAGCAATCATACTGTTTACCTAAAATAGTTTTTTAAATGCAGAAACGTTTTAGGGAGAGCTGGAAAACACAGATGAAGAAGGCACACAGTATAAACAAGCTCCATGTCTTCTAACCTAGTTTCTCTCTTAAAGACACTTTGGGAAGTGACTTTTATACTTGTTTTAGACTAACTCATAAATATGACCTCTCTCGCTGTGACTGGTGAAATGAGTTTGTTAGCGTCTAAAATTGCTTACATAGCTCACAAGTTTTATGTAACACAGTTTGCTGTATGTTTAACTGCACCAGGAGAAATGTTACCGTATATTAATATACAGAAAAAATATCTTTGTAAAGTGTGAGTTAACTATTAACAAAATCAGTATATATTTTTTTAAACTTCTGGACAGTGAATATCAATAAAAGGCAGTTTCAGTATTTTAGAAAAGTTTTTCTTCTTGCACATTTGGGACAAGAAAGCTAAAGAAGCTATTTTTGAAAACTGCCATCGTGCCTTTACCTGACATATCTTCTTTCAAGGATTTGCAGAATACAGTATAAACAGTAGGGTCAAGAGGAAGGTGGGTTCACATCACGACAGACTTTAGTTACTATGCAGGTCACTACAATTATTCTTAACAAAATAGGAGTCATTTATCGGAAAAACCTGATAGAGCATAAAATCGGAGTAGCTCTGGCCTGCAGTAAGACAGAATGTAGTAGTGTTCCTGTGGATTTACATTTTCAAGTACTCCATTCCTACACCTGCTTGATGAGGATGAACAAATATTATGTAAAGAGAGATTGTAAAGATAGTATATTTCTCACTATAAAGAAAAATAAGGCTGCTATCAGAGCAAATGTTGCCAGTCGCATGCTGTTTTCACTTAACTTTTGGTGATATGAACATTGAAAAACACCTATGAGTATGCATATAATATGTAAAAAAGACTTTACAAGCATTGTGTGGAACATTAGGAGAGGGAGACTGAAAAGCTTCTTGACTGTAATGCTTTAAAAAGTATCCAGGTTTCTTGCTGAAATGAAATGAAATGAAGAAAGTGATTAATGAAAGAAGCTATATGACCAGGTCTTCAGCATTAATGTAACCAGGCTATTTTGGAAGCCTATGCTTGATTGATAAGAATATAAAAAAATAACAACTTTCCTAGCATTTTTTACAATTTATTCTTAGGATATGATGGTGTTGTGTTGTAATGTATTTTTCATTGAAATCTATTGTATTTCACTTCAGTCTGGTGTTTTTGTGTTTCTACTGTATATTAGAGGTGAAAAAATGTTTTCATAGGGCTTTCGTAGGTTCATTTGCGTACAATAAATTAACCTTGGAAACAGTCATATTCAGTAGCTACTGAAACATTTCTGCTTTACTTTATTTTGACTTTTTGTTTAAAAGGACCCACACATTTAGAGATCACAATTATCTTTGTTTTATTTGAATCCGATTCTAACAACAGCCAGCAGCCATATCACTCTGCAACTCACAACTGGCAGCCCACTGAAGCTAAGCAGGTGTGAGCCTGGCCAGTACCTGGATGGGAGACCTCCTGCGAAAAACTAAGGTTGCTGCTGGAAGAGGTGTTAGTGGAGCCAGCAGGGGGCGCTCACCCTGCGGTCCATGTGGGTCCTAATGCCCCAGTATAGTGACGGGGACACTATACTGTAAACAGGGGCCGTCCTTTGGATGAGATGTAAAACAGAGTTCCTGACTCTCTGTGGTCAATAAAAATCCCAGGGTGTTACTCTAAAAGAGTATCCCCATCTATGAATTGGCTACATTACTCTGCTCTCCTCCCCACTGATAGCTGATGTGTGGTGAGCGTTCTGGCGCACTATGGCTGCCGTCGCATCAGCCAGGTAAACCTGTAAAGTGCTTTGAGTAGAGTGTCCAGAAAAGCTCTAAATAAGTGTAGGCAATACACAGTTAATTATGAAATACACAGTTGCTTATTTTTCTTCTCTCTTGGATACTGGAGTTTCAATTTGAAATAGGTAAAGCCTGTTGATCAGTTACTCCTAGGGTATGTATAATCTCATTGTGTTTGACAGAACAAACCCCCCTCCCCCAACACTTCAGCCCATAAGTATGCTGCACTAGTAATCAAATTATTAATGTATCTGGATGTGCTTCTCAATATTCTTTAACCTACAGACTTGATGAACCCTTAGCATATCAATATAAGTAGGAATAACAATGTACTAAAGAGAAGTTGAACAGAATAACATAAACGGGACAAAGTAAAGTCATAATAGTAAAAAGTAATCTTTTATATCTCTAATTGTTATTTCATACCGAGACGCCTTAAAAATGCAGCAAATGAGTTTTGCTTCAAATTTTAGTATTAAATTGTCTCTTATGTGAGAAAAAAGGACTGCATGTAATAGCAGGGCACTTATGGTACTTTAATATTGAGGCTCATTATTAAAAAAAGGAGCTTAAATACAGTGCTTATAGAAAGTCTACACCCCCCTTGGACTTTTTCACATTTTATTGTGTTACAGCATGTAACCCTGATTTATTATTGTATTAAACTGAGGATTTTTGCCACTCATTAACACAGAGTACTCTATAATGTCAAAGTGAAAATTTTACTAAATGAATTAAAAATTAGGAAAGAATCGAATGTATAAGTATTCACCCCATTGCTTTGACACACCTAAATTACCTTTGAAGTAACCAAATCTCTTCTCCAAGTCACATAATTACTTGACTGGAGTCCACCTGTGGCAGTTGAGGTGTTTCACATGATTTCAGAATCAAAACACCTGTGTTGTACTATTAAATTTAATCTTATCTGTCAATAATGACAGTATGAGGAACATAACATATTCACATTAAACAGGATTGATTCAAAGTGGGCAAAGTAATCACATGAGGTAAACTTATTAAATAAGGTATAGGGAATACCTCTCTATGTATTCAGAGGTTTGTACCATTGAATAACTCTCTCTATTCAAAGGTTTGAACCATTTAATACTTTGTCTTCCCATGTACAAAATACACTGGTAAATAAATACTCATCAGTTGAAATTGGGTAACAAAATAATAGCTTTACGTAAACACTTCATGCCTAGAATACATACAGGATTAATGTAATATTTTCCGAGTTTTAAAACTCTGAAAAGTTCAGTTTAACTAACACGTGAATATTTTCTTCTTCATGGCATCATCACACTGCTTTGATAGGCTAGAACACAAAACATCACTATTCCACAAGGAGTTGAGGGTGATTCCCTTCAGCCAAGTCTGCTCTGAAGCAGACTTCCGAGAGGGGTGCATAAAGGACATATGGAGCACTTGTGATCACCCCTGTGAACCACAAATTAGAAGAGGGCCACCTTAAGTCTTTGCAAAAACAAACAGAGTTGTGTAGATATCGGGAGATGGCCGATCTTGCATTGAGTGAGAAAGACTGCATGTAGGAAAGCGAAGGTACATAGTAGTAGGTCCCAACGAGATGTCATTCCAGTGCATCCCAGGGGCTGCATAGGGAGGCCATTTCTTATACACCTAAAGCAGCAGCAGAAAAATCCCATAAATGTGAGAGCATTATTTTGCACACAGTACAGTGCAGGTTTTGGAGCAAGAACATCTTTTCTGTAGCCTTGCATAGTCAAGGAGCCATTAATTAACACTAACAGCACTCCAGGTGTGCAGTGCAACATGGATGGTATCACTGCTCACGTCTGCAGTGCACTTGCTGTATAGCTTTGTGTAATAGCAGGTTAAACACAGCAGTGCTCCAAATTTAAATCGGTCAGTTCTTAGAAGAGTGTGTTTGTGTCCTGGCATGATGTGTGACCCAATGTTAGTCATTCAGCTCCAAGCTGAAGTGTGTGGTAGGCTCTAATGCCTGTACACGTGCTGATGTGGGCATGACATCTGTACAGCAGTTTGCTATGCAGGACAATGTCAGTTCTGGAGATGCTTCAATCAAATATATTGATATTGCACAAAGTTGTTTGTTGGGCAGTTTGAAGGGATTTGTGCAGAAACGTTTTTCTGCTCTTCAGCACATTTATTTTTAGTTTTTCATTAAGCTATTGCTCATTGTTGCTTTATTACTGCAACTTTATTTCCAGTTTTTACAAGTGGCTTGCATACATTTTTTAAAATGTAGCTAGAGCTGTGATTTGGATATTACCTTTTTTAGATGTATTTGTTTATTGTTTTTATGGACTTTTATGTTGTAAAATGTGTCAAAAATTGTCACAAAGTTATCTTTTTCTTATTAATGATTATTTTTAGCTCTTTATCTCTGCTTTTATATCGTATGTTTTAATATGCAGTCCAACTTTGGTATTGTTTGGATTAAATAATACTGATATCATGAATGTAAAAATAGAATATCCATGCAGTATGATTAGGGTGTGGATTAGAGACAGCTTTTTTTT